AAATCCATGGTAAACCACCAAACTGGAAAAAGAAATCTGCAGGTGAAGGCAGAGCATTTCAGGCATCCAACTCTAAAGACCAGGAGCAGATAAATACCTGAGTCGTCTTTTTTCACATAGGAGCAGTTAGAGCAGTTGTATCAGATTTTCTTTGCAAAAACATCAGTTACTCCATTCTCCTCTTTGGCCCAAAAGTTACCCCTTTGTGTACTACTTTCCGTAATTCTAAACAGAATTCCCATGCTACATGGATCATTGATTCTAGAGCTACTAATCATATGACAGATTGCTCAAATCTATTTTCTATTTATAGTACTTGTGCAGGTAACAAAAAGGTTAAAATTGCAGATGGGTCTTTTTCTGCAATAGCTGGTGACAGTTCTACCCCAATTTCAAGTTGCGCTCTATAATGTTCTTCATGTCCCTAACTGTCTAGCAACCTTTTGTCCATTAGCAAGTTAAAACAAGACCAACAATATATAGATGTTTTTGACTCTTCTTTTTGTAAATTTCAGGATTTGAAATCGGGGAAGATAATTGTCAGCATTAAGTTGATGGCCTCTCTCTCTTTTAAGAAGGAACTGTTTTCAATCAGGAAAGTGAGTAATTTTCTCAATCCAGTCTCTGTTTCTAGGGATGAGAAAATTATGTTATGGCATGATAGATTAGGTCATCCAAGTTTCTTTTACATGAAACACATTTCCATATCTTTTTAAAAATAAAAACCTTTCTTAATTACTTGTGAAAATTGTCAATTGCCAAAGCATCATCACAGTACTTACTCCACTCAAGCCCACAAAAAGTCTAGTCCTTTTACTCTCATTCATTGTGATGTGTGGGATCCTAGTCGTGAGTTTGTTACTTTTATAGAGGATCATAATAGACTAATGTTCAAGAGATACAAAGAGATATACATTCTGCTCTAAAGGTTCCAGAGTGGAAGAAGGCTATCTTGGAGGAGATGAGAGCTCTAGAGAAGAACCAAACTTGGAAAATGGTGGATTTGCCCAAAGGAAAAACAATTGTGGGTTGCAAATGGGTTTTCACTATCACTAACAAGGCAGATGGAGTAATTGAAAGATACAAAGCCCAGTTGGTGGCCAAAGGGTTTACCCAAACTTATGGGGTAGACTATATGGAGAGCTTTGCACTTGTCAGAAATCTAAATACTATCAAGGTTCTCTTATCATTGGTAGCCAGCCAATCCTGATTGGCCTTTATAATAACTACAAGTGAAGAATGCTTTTCTGAATGGAGATTTGGAGGAAGAAATATATATGGATGCACCACTAGGCCTTGAATCACACTTAAAACAGAAAGTTTGCAAACTTGAGAAGTTATTATACTGACTGAAACAGTCACCTAGAGCTTGGTTTGAGAGGTTTACTCAATTCATCAAAAAGCAAGGGCATGTGCATCGTCGAAGTGATCAAATCATGTTTGTGAAGCACATCCTTGAAGGAGAGCTGGCTGTACTAATTGTTTATTTAGATGATATTGTGCTCACAGGGGATGACTTGTTGGAGATGAGCCAATTGAAAAAGTCTCTGGTTGCTGAATTTGAAATCAAGGATCTTGGACCTCTAAAATAGTTCATGGGAAAGGAAGTTGCAAGATCTAGAGAGGGAATTGTTTTTTCTCACATATTAGACCTTCTCAATAACACTAGAATGAGTGGATGTAAACCAGCTAAAACTCCAATCAATCCTAACCAGAAAATTGCACCGGTTGACACTTTCAGGTACCAAAAGTTAGTAGGAAGACTGATTTACCTATCCCATTCTCGTCCTAACATTGCATTTGCTGTGAGTTTGGCAAGTTTTTTCTGTTTTAATAGTTACAAATTCTGTAAAACTGTTAGCTTTCAGTTTTGTATCATTATATACATCTTTGTAACAGTCCCAAGGTGGTTAATGAATTTTGTGACAAACTCGTAACAGAGTTTGCTTTCTTTCTCTACACTCTCTTGCATTCTTTTCTTCCTATCTTACAATCTTTTAGGGGCAAATTCCAAGAACTAATCCTAGAGGAATTAGGCTTAGAACTTGGAATCATGAAAAAATTCTGCAACTTCTCTTCTACTTTCCCTTTCTCTCTTTCTTTTGTAATGTTCTGATTTATTTTTGTTAGGGATTAATGGATCCTATTTCAAAATTGTGAATTGATTATGGATTTGAATTCTAGGTCTTTAATTGTATTGAACATTCAATTTTTCTTGGATTAATCATTCAATTGAACTTAGAGAGTTTCATCAATGGAAGTTGAGTTAATTTCTCAGATCTGAATTGAATGTCAAGATTATTGATATCTTAGGAATAAACATTCATGATCTATCTCTTAATTTCTAATATCTAATGCAACGTTTGATTGATTTACACATAAGAAATTAGGGTAATTAATTGAATATTAGGATCATTGAGTCAATAAATTGAACTTTGATTAACTTAGTGAAATTGATCATCAATCAATTAATGGACTTAGGAATTCAGATCACATCTAGTTTTACAATTGAGAAATAGGTAAAATCAACCCCAACTTCATTTGATCTATCATCTCATCTCTCAAATCTCTTACTATGTTTGCTGTTCTTTTCTATTTTTCTGCACTTTATTGCTTGTTTCTTCAAATGTTCAAGACACCTCAAATTTCGATTAACTCAAATAGCTTTTGATTTGTGAAGTGGTAATTGGATGAACCAATCCCTGAGAGCAATACTCAAAACTTAAGATTTTGAATTTATTACTTGCTACAACTATGTAGTACACTTGCTAGTTAGGACTCTAAGAGAGTGACAACAGGTTCATCCCTCAAATTGCTTGGTTACAATGATGCAAATTGGGCAGGTTGCCCAGACACTCAAAGATCCATCACGAGTTGGTGTATGTTCCTTGGCCCTGCACTCATTTCTTGGAAAAACAAAAAGTAAGCTCAGGTCCTTAAGTCCTCCACCAAGTCAGAATACCGAGCCATGTCTACAACATGTTTAGAAATAATTTGGCTCTATGGCTTTTAGCTGAGCTTAGATTTCCTCAGCCCAATGCTACTCCTCTCTCTTCTTACAACATTAGTGCAATTCAAATTGCTATCAATCCTGTTTTTCACGAGTGCACAAAACATATTAAAGTTGACGGTCATTCTATTCTTGAAGCCTTCGATAATGGTGTCATCTCTCTTCCGCACATCACCTTAACATTTCAGCTTGCAAATCTTTTTACCAAGGCTGTCCCTCATCCTTGTCATCAATTTCTCGTACACAAATTGATGCTGGTCAAGAAGCATTTGTTGGGATATTATTGCCCATTAATGTATTTAATTGCTTTCTATTATTTTCTGTCCAAATTAGGAATGCCAGGAAATCAGAAATTAGCTTATTAATTGTAAATATTTAGGATTCCTAATATAGAGCCTATAAATTAGGAAATCTTCCCATAAATAAAATATTGTACTATATATTGTGAGGAAATTCAATGAGAAAAATATTGAGTCATTCAGTCAATTTCTTGTGACAATTAAAGTCTTCCTAGATTAATAGTTCAAAATCAAAGACATTGGTCCTTTAAAGTTCTTTTTAGGCCTTGAAGTAGCAAGATAAGCCTTTGGAATTATACTTAATCAGTGCAAATATATCCTTGAAGTAGCAAGATAAGCCCAAAACTGGACTCAAAGATCAAGCAACAGTATTTTGCAAATACACGAGAGCAGATGCTCCAAAACAACAAGCAATCATAGCAAGGTCCCTCACTGTGCCAATAACCCACTAACAGAAAAGCCTCCTCCATCATGATATTCCCCCATCCTATATAATTCTAACAAATTCTCCTAACTCACTCTTGCCACGTTGGCATTCCCATCCTCCTATGCCTTTTTTTTTCTAGTATACACCTTCCAGACCTTGGGCCTTAGTGGCCATAGAAACTCATCCACAGACTTATTGCACCTATCATGCTGGATTACTTGTTTGCAAAACCACATCAATTTCCATGGCTCCTGATCTAAAGATATCCAAAGACAAGGGTGTAGCCTACTTTGACCTGAAAGCTTATAGGAGACTGATAGGTCACTTAATACACCTAGGAAATACAAAATTTGATCTTGGTTATTCAATTCTGTCTCTAAGCCAATTTCTATTATGATGCTTCCATCCAAGTTCTTCATCATCTTAAAATTTGTCAAGGAAAGGGTCTATTTTTCCTAGCAAATTTGGATCTAAAACTCACTGCATTCAGTGATTCAGTTTGGGCCTTGTGCCCGATTCCTGTAGAAAAATCACCGGATTCTCCATCTTGCTTGGCCCTGCTCTCATACCATGGAAATCCAGGAAACAGAACACTATTTCTAGAAGCTCATTAGAAGAAAAATACAGGGCCGTTGCTATAATTGCATACGAAATCCAATGGCAAGCTTACTTACTCAAAGACCTACAACAACCTTCCTTAACAACAGTTTCTCTATTATGTGACAAACAAATCAGCTATTCAAACTGCACATAATCAAACTTTCCATGAAAGAAACAAAGACAGAGAAATTGACTGTCACTTGGTTCAGGAAAAGATACAACAAAAAGTTTATTCATTTACTCCTAATTCCCTCGTTCCACCCACCTCTAAGACAATCACATCAAAAGCTAAATACAAATGCCCTTAACTCTACTATATCCAAGCTAGGCATAATCAATATCTATGCCTCAGCTTGAGGGGATGTGGATTACATTATCAGTTATATATAGATTATAGGTTAATGAGTTAGTTATTTCAGTTAGCTTTCCTTTATTATCATTCTATTTCAGTTGTGATTTTCATTATATTCAATAATAACAAGTTACTTCTTTTGTTATCACAATAATATTGTCAATTTATACAACTACAAATAATCACTGCCTTTCTTTTTGTAAGCCTATAAATGACAGTAAGAGTTCTAAAACTTTTCAACTCAGATGATCAGACATCAAGATAAGATTGTAGAGTTGATACATAAGTCAATGTGGACAGAAATTATTGTACCGTATGATTGTGTATGGAATACCGGAATCAGCTAGATATTGCTCAGCCTTTCTTTTCCAAATCTGCATTCAAAATGAAATTCTAGCCTTTTTATCATAGATGAGAAAACAATGCTATCTTTTAACTGAATTAGCATTCTGCTTTGAAATAAAATTTAAGCTCTGTTCAAATTAAAATACAAGCCCAAAACTGTGAAATGAATTCAACAAAAAAGTATTGGAGCAAATATGACTGACCAATATATTCCCATTTCCCAAGCTGTTCAGATGATGATTAGGGTTTGTTCCACCCATAGACCCAACTAACACGATATGCTTCACTCCTGCAACCTTAGCTGTTCATATTCATAGAGGTAATACAATTTTAATATCACAAGCATGAATGATTTTTATTGTGATATACAATAAATGGAATAAAGACACAGATTCCCACCAGCATCTATTTGATTTTTCTGCCCAATCCAATCAACCTAAAATATGAATAAGTATGCTATAGTATTAGTAAAAGAGACATATATATAAAAAAACTGTACCAAGCATAGGAAAAATGTAGTAGCACCTGCTCAGGATATGCACCATTATCAAAATAGAACTCAGGTCTTCCACCTTTTGTTGGATCAAACCCAGGCTTCATTTGAGGAACTGCACTTGTGAGAATTATGAGAGCATCTACATCTTGAATTGCCAGAGTAATACTTCCAGCATCTCTGATGTCCCCAACAAAAACATCGTCTGCGCCACCAATTTTCTGTTTGCTTTCTTCTGTTCTAACAAGACCTCTGGCAATATACTGGTTTGGATTCTCTTTTAATTTTCTATACACTATTTGTCCTGAAAAAACATAAAAAAATCACTTTAAGAATTTCCAATTAGTGAAAACAGAAAAACTGTGCCACTCCTGCTTTATCTACTATATAGGAAGATCTGTGAAAAACTTTAGTCTTGACTATATTTAGCTTCAACTTTCAGATTAAAGCAAGATTAAAGAAGCCAACCAATATAAAAAATATTGATCAGAAAGGTGATTGGTGGTATTTTACATAATCATATTCAAAGGTCAAGGTTTGTGTTTCTTTTCTTATATTAGTAACTTATGCATCACAGATCAAATATATGAACTATTCAAACAATCTGTGAAATTAAATTACATTGAGGTCATGAAAAATGAAAATACAAGTATCATGTGGAGAACAGTTTTTTCAATAAGAGTGTATGAAGATGGACAAAAATTGTGATCAGGATGTGACAATATTCAACTTTCAGATTAACTACTGCTTATAAAAATCAATAAATATTTAAGTTGTTTTGTATGATGCAAAAAAGATGACTGAAAATTATCTAAGGTGGTTCGGTCATTTGCAGAAAAGGCCTTTGGAAGCACCTTACCTAACTCATAGTAAGGGGTCTAGAGAGACCCAAAAAAATCATAAAAAAAGTTATTAAAAGAGACCTTTTAATTAACTAGATTTCCAAAAATTTGGTTTTTGACCAAGCTCAATGGTGTCGTGTAATCCATGTAGCCAACCTCACCTAGTAGGATAAGCCTTGGTTGTTGTTGTTGTATGATGTGAAGACATAATTGGAACAGACATATATTATAAATACTAGAATTCTGTTCTATGTTCAATATGTTACAAGATACACGTATATATAGGAATCTCAATCCCAGTATTTACATGAGAGAATCCCTAGATATCCCAGAATACCTTCTAATAATCATAAAGGTAATAATAAATAATAGAGATAATTACAATATTTACAATTATGATATATTCTAATATATTGTCAATACCCCCCCCCCCCCCTTTTCAATCTAGTAAATGGATATCTATCATTCTCATATTACAAGAAAGATCTTAAAACCACTTAGTTGTTAGTCCTTTGGTAAACATATCTGCTAATTGATCTAAGGAAAGAACATAGGTGGTGACTGAGTCCACTACCCAATTTCTCCTTAATGAAATGTCGATCAACCTCTATGTATTTTATCCTATCATGTATTTAATAGCAGATTTATCATCACATAAAAATTTCAAAAGACCATTCACTTTTATTTTATGCCATCAAGAATGATCTATATTAGTAAATATGGGCCTAACCCATTTCCAAAAGTTAGGTTGTAGAAGAAAGACTACCCAAGTCCTTATAATGAGTATTCCAACTTTTTTCCTAGCTAATGTGTGACATCTTAGCACACCCCCTCATACCCAGGACTAGACATCTGGTGGTGAAGTTTGCAAGAATGGACATTTGTGGGTGGCCCAACAGGACTCGACATCTATAAACATCCTTACATTCAAACTAGATAGGCTCTGATTTCATACAAGTAAATTTGGGCTTAATTCACTCCCAAAAAATAGCTCGTAGGAAGAGGACTACCCAATCTCTTATAAGGACTATTATGGCTCTATTTTTAATAATGTGAGACATCTAAAGAATCTTCATCTACAAAAGTTCACCCACTCCTTGGGCCATATCTCAAAATTCAGCTTCAGCTTTGTTTCTTGCTTCACCATGATACGAGATTTCCACCCAGAAATAGTATCTTGAAGTGGATCTTCTTTTATCTAAAGCAGAACCTGCATTGTCAGCATCAATATATATTTCCAAAGAGAGAGACTATCCCCCTCTATAGAGTATACCTCGTCTAAGACTTGCTTTCAGATATTTGAGGATCTTATTACTACTTGTAAATGTCTTTTACATGAGTCACACATTAATTGATTGACAATGCTAACAATATATGCAATGTCAAATCTAGTATGAGATAGATCAACTTTCCCACTAGTGTTTGGTATTGGACCTTGTCTATAATCAAACTGGTAGAGCTGGCCGAAGAGGTTCTGGGAGATGAGCTGTTAAGGGGAATCATGCAGCAGGTGGTGACAAATCCTAATTCCCATCCACACTATTCAGTCTCTCAGGGCTGTTTATGGTATAAGCAGCGGCTAGTTTTGCCTAAGAACTCTGCCCGAATTCCACTATTGCTGATGGAATTCCATGCATCACCTTAGGGTGGTCATTCCGCTATGACAAGGACTTACAAGCAGGACTTACAAGCAGCTGACCACGATTTTCTATTGGACGGGGATGAAACAAGATGTGGAAAGGTTTGTTGCGAACTATCAAGTGTGCCAACAGAATAAGCATGAAACCTTGAAACCCGCAGGGCTCCTTCAACCTCAACCAATTCCAGAGCACGTGTGGGAAGAAGACATCTCAATGGATTTCATTGGTAGGCTACCAAAGGCTAAGGTAGCGGACAGCATCATGATGGTAGTGGATAGATTGAGCAAATATGCCCACTTCATTCCCTTGCTTCATCATTATTCCTCTAAGGATGTAGCAGCTGTGTTTGTGAAGGAAATTGTGCGTTTACATGGATTTCCCAGTTCCATAGTTTCGGACCAGGACAAAATTTTTATTAGTTCATTCTGAAAGGAGCTCTTTCTTCTCTCGAGCACAAGGTTGAAATTCAGTTCTGCATACCATCCTCAAACGGATGGCCATACTGAAGTGACTAACCACACCATTAAAGCATATTTGAGATGCTTTGTTAATGATCACCATCGTCAATTGGTGAAGTGGCTACCGTGAGGGGGAGTTTTGGTTTAATTCCTCGTTCAATGCTTCCATCAAGATGACTCCCTTTAAGGCACTATATAACAGTGACCTTCCCATGGTTATTCCTTACTGTCGGGACAGCACGGTTGTTGCTGAAGTAGACCAATTGTTACAGTTTCGGGATAGTATCATAGAGGAGCTTAAGCAACACTTAATTAGAACACAGTTGAGAATGAAAGGGCAAGTGGATAACAGATGATGAGAAGTGGAATTTCAGATTGGGGACATGATATATTTGATGGCCCGACCTTACAAACATTGGCCAAAAAGATCAATGAGAAATTGAGTCCAAGATTTTATGGCCCGTTTTGCTTGGAAGAAATGCTATTTTAACTATTGAGCACAACTGATCAGCACAACTGGCTATCCAAGTTGATGGGATATCAATTTTAAATTATATACAAACCAAGGCCCGAGAATAAGGCAATGGATGCTCTATCACACATGATGGAGGGAATAAGGAATTGCCTTCTATTATTTCTAGTCGCTGTTGGGTAGATTTAGCTAAGGTGAAGGAGGAAAACAAAAGTTACCTTGCTTTCATGCATATTGCATCTGACTTGAAATCTAATCCGGCATTGCGACCTGGATTTCAGTTTCAAGCTGAATAGCTTTTTTACAACAGGCAACTAGTTCTCTCTAGAAACTCTTGTATTATTCCAGAATTATTGCAAAAGTTTCATGGCACTCCCGCTAGAGGACATTCTGGATTTAATCATACCTAAAAGAGGATAGCAGCTGGGTTGTTTTGATTTGGGATGCAACCTCAGATTCTGCACTTGTTCAACGAATGTAATATCTATCAGCGCAATAAGTATAAAGCCTGTGGGGCTGCTACAGCCACTGCCAGTGCCACATTTAATATGGGATGAGGTCTCCATGGACTTCATTATGAGATTGCCAAAATTTAGGGGCTATGAAAATAATCATGGTGGTGGTTGATCAGCTGTCCAAATATACCCATTTTATTCCAATCAAATGTCCTTTCACATCAAAAACACTTGCTAAACTTCTTATCTGAGGGGTGGTTCATCTGCATGGCTTTCCCAGCTCCATGGTGAGTGACAAAGATCCCTTGTTCCTTTGTCATTTTTACAAGGAATTGTTTCTACACCAAGGAGCTGTTTTAAAAAATGAGTACCTCCTACCATTCTCAAATGGACAGTCAAACCGGGGTTATTAATTGCAATTGGGAGACTTATCTATATTGCTTTGCTTCTGAGTAGTCCAGGAAATTATCTTTGTTGGTGAGCAGTCCAAATATACCTCTTTCCATACTTCTTGCACCACTCCTTTCCAAGCTGTTTACGGGCATCCACCCCTGACCATTGTTCGTTTCCTTGATGGTGAAACTGCTGTAGACTAAGTAGCACAGATATTGTGTGATAGAGACGGGGTGTTGAGAAAGCTGAGATTAATCTAACAAGTGCTCAGAAGACAATGAAGAGCACTGCAGATAAACATTGTAGAAATGTCACTTACAATGTGAGGGATTGGGTTTATGTGAAGCTCCAACCACATAGAAACTTGTCTTTAGCTAGAAGAATTAACTCCAAAACTGTTCACAAGGTAATATGGATTCAGATCTTAGCTTGTGTTGGTGAAGTCACTTATACAGTCCAATTTCCAGAAACAGCTCAAATACACCCACTGTTCCATGTCTCCTAGCTGAAAAAGGCAATTGGAAATCACCCAGAAGAAGCAGAATTACCAGCTGGATTTGAGGCTGAAGATACTACAGTCCCTATAGAAACTGAGGTAATTTTAGCAACTAGCAAGACAAACCAAGGGGCCACTGTGACTGAATGGTTGGTTTCATGGAAGTCCGAACTAGTGGAAGACACCACTTGGGAATAGCAAAGCCAGGCTAAGGACCAGTTTCCTAATTTTTGCCTTGATGACAAGGCAACTCTTACTGGGGGAGCACTATTGATAGTTCAGAGGGCTCACAATCGTTTAAGTCCAACACCAAGCGCTTACTACTATATTATTGTAGGAGCCATGTCAGGCAGACCTAGTGGATAGAATATAGGCTGGTTAGAAGAAACAGAAAGGGGAAGGAGTAAGTTGGTTATAGTGGGGGAAATTGGCTTCTGTAGGGATATTTTTCTGTTTCTCTGTAAGCCATAGAGCTTGGCAAGGAGGGATTCTCCATGTGGGAGCAATCTTGCTCTTTCTTTGTTTGTTCATCTTCTGATCAATAATACAGACCCTTTCTCGATAGAAACCTCAATTCCTATCAGGTACACCCACTTTCACCACAGTAAAAGTAGATATATGTGAATGAGTGTAGAGTGGTCTTATTCAAATACAACAATAATGTGTGAAGATTTTCCCTTTGTACCTCCTCACCTCACCTTTCGCTCTTACGTGTGAAGCACCCAATACTCTCCAGCATTGACCATCTTTGGTCTTATTGCTATCTAGTAGAATTTTGATTTGAGATTGTACTTTTTTACAACATCAGGTATTCAAGCACTATAATGGTGTTTGACAATTCTGGACTCCGTACTTCGACATAACTAAGGCTCTTCGTCCCTCCCCAAATTATACTTTGAATTCACAATATTATGATTAAGAATTTCAGGAATTTTATGTAATTATGTAAAAGAGTCCAACTCACCGTGATCAGAAACTATATCTAATACACCAACAGAAGTAAAACACAAATTAAAAGTTGCCCATAACGCACGCAAATTACAGAACCTCAATTAAAACAAGAACAAAAAGAAACCAGTGGAAGCGTAGACGAAAATAGAGCACCTGTGCGACCCCCAGCTCCAGTAACAAGCACGGTTCTCAGGGACGAATCAGCCATGCTTAGAAATTAGAATGGCACAGTGCAATTGGTACTATGATGTTGAAAATGAGACAGAGAAGGGGAAATATATTATAGTGTGAAGACAGACCATGGAAGCTTCTGGATATGTCTGAAAAAGAAATGCCACTATGCCGCGTGTACCAAAGGGTGCTTGTAGTAAAAAGTTAGGGAAATAGGGTTTCTTAAAACTTATTCCCCAGTGAGATGGAAGAATACAAGTGGCCCTAATGTCGTTTTTTGTTAGTATGGTTTCACCAGACTAGAATTTGCAGATTAGTTACACGTGTAAAAGTCATAGCTAGAATCGAACGTCACAGTCATAAAGCCCACATTTTGAACATTTGTGGCGTATCAAATAGGGAACTAATGGGGTCTAGATTACAGCCGATACTCATGTCCACTGACGACACGTGTTGAAAGACACCACTTTATTCAATGTATACAATAGGTTAGTATAATCTTTTATTCAATTTTGCATGACTATATATAGGAAGGCAGGAAATGTTTTTGACAAAGTAGAGGCAAGCGTATAAGAAATTAGGTTAGCATTTTTGTAATTTTTTTTTTGTTTGTTTCTAAAAGTAATTGAATAATTAATAATATTAAAATTATGAATATTATTGATTAATTGTAATTAGAATGTTTAATATTTTGGATAATTTATTTTAAATTTTTTATATAGCATTATTGTAACTTAAAAAATTTAATTATTATTTATTGAGATTTGATTAAATATTTTGATTATTAATATTGTTCAATTGTATTTAGAAAGTTTTCGTTTAATATTTGTTGTTTATATTATTAAATTTTATAATTGTTATTTAATTTATTGATTCATAAAATTGAATGATTAATATTTTGTTAAGTTTTATTTAGAATACTATTGGATAAATATAATTTAACTAAAAATAATTATTGTAATAATATTTTGATCGCAAAGATGGGTCAATAAAATTTGGACAAAATAATAATAAATTTTTAATAAAATTATAGAATAATATAGTTTAATATAGGTAACAATATTTAATTTGTTAATATAAAATTTCTAAAACTAATTTGATAAGATAATTCTCGTAAGTTAAAATGTGTGTAATTAAATTTTTATTTGTTGATAAATGAATTTAATATTTATTATTGTTTAGTTGCATTTACTGTGATTAATTAAATTAATTTTTGTATTATTCATATGTAGGTGATGGTGTAACTCTATTTTGGGATATAAGTTCACACTATAATAATATTAATTGGTAATACTCTAATTAATAAATGGATTTTCTCAAGTTGAATGACTCCAAATCATGGATAAAAGGAGATGTGTTATATGTTGGCTAACTCTTTGAATGTAAAGAGGTGTAAAAATGACTATAAAATGTTATGCAAAAAAGATACATCAAAGTTTTTTTGTGGTTAAGTCGAAAGCAATTACAAATGTTAAGAAATATCAAAATCATAACAAGAGATATTCTTGGAGAGTAAAAGTAACAGTGCCTAAAAATTTAAACATGTCAAAAATTACGAGATGGGACAGTAGCTATACATGCGTAAATGCTTCAATCTCTCAAGACCATCATGTGAATAATTAATTGATTACTTCTATCTTTAAACAAAATCTAAAATTAAAAAAATTATCAAAATAATAATATTTATAATACCATAAAAAATAATTAATATGATTTATTAAATAAAATTATGAACGATAATATTGTTTTACCCATTACCAAATCTGGCCTCTTAATTCACAAAAATGGTAAATTGCTATGACTAAGGATGGATCCCATGGTCTAGCCATTGCAAACATTTTGAGTGATTTTTTCAAAGACTAGACCCTCTTGATTAAAAACCCGTTGTAATTAATGATTTTTGAAGTGTCATTATGTCTCAGAATTATATGCATGCATTTTGAATCAAATAATTTGTTAGATGAAAATTTAAGTTTTACTTATTATTTTAAAGTTTCAAAATTATTCCTTTGGAAGTTTTAAATACTTTGAAATCTTATAAAATTTTCATAAGAGGAATGTGAGTTTTACTTTTATTCAATTCTTAAATCTATGAAGTAGAACAAAATTCTTCTATATATGTAACTATGTAAAATTGACTGCACCTACTTATTACTCTATGGATTAAATTTTAAAATGTATAAAGTTATTTCTATATATGTTACTTTACCTAATTATTACTTTATGCATTAAAATTTAGAACATATAAAGTCACTTATATTCACTGCACTTACTTATTATTTTATGCATTAAAATTTGAAACGTATGATTTATGAATTAAAATTATATTTTATTATTACTTATTATCTTTGAATTGTATTTAAAAAATATTTATTAGAATTAATGATTATATTAAGTTACAAACAACAACATAAATATTCATACTATAAATTGCTTTAACTTACCGTTTATTAAAATTAATTATAATATTTTTCATAATTCACGAATTAAAATTATATTTGATTCATACTTATTATCTTTAAATTGTATCTAAGAAAAGCTTATTGGAATTGATGATTATATTATGTTAAAAATGACAATAATAATATTGTTGTGAATGACGTTTAATAAAAAATTATTAAATTTTTAAATGTAAAAAATTTTAAAATTTTCATTGTCAAGTAAAATTATACCTAATGAACGAAAATAATTAAATAGTAAAAAAATATTATTACATTTTAATTAAAAATAAAATTATATCTTTACTTTTAAGTTATATTTAAATTTGAGTAATATTAATTTAAATTATTTTATTAATTAATTTAATATAATCCATATTTTAATATGTACTTCAAATACTAAAATGTACTTTGAATAAAAAAAACTACATTTATAAATATATTAGTTTATATTACATATTGTTAAGTTAAAATTCTAATAAAAAAACTAATTTATATATTTAATTTATTAATTAGTTTAGTATAATCTATAGTTTGATATGTACTTTAAACTTTAAAATTATTATAATATTTTGTATAATGAAAATAATTAAATAGAAAAAAGAAATATCCATAAATTTTTTGAGTTACTTTTTAATTAAAAATAAAATTGTATCTTTACTTTAAATTATATTTAAATATTTAAATTATTAAATATTTTAATAATTAGTTTAATATAATTTATATTTTATTATGTATTTGAAACACTAAAATATACTTTGAATTGAAAAAATTATACTTACAAAATTATTAGTTTATATTATAAATTATTATATTAAATTTCTAATAAAAAAATAAATTTACATATTTAAATTATTTTATTAATTAATTTAATAGAATCTATATTTTAGTATATACTTTAAATACTAAAATGTAATTTGAATTAAAAAAAACTATATTTATAAAATTATTAGTTTATATTATATATTATTAAATTAAATTTCTAATGAAAAGATAAATTTACATATTTAAATTATTTTATTAATTAGTTTAATTTAGTCTATAGTTCAATATGTACTTCAAATACTAAAAATGTATTTTGAATTAAAAAAATTACACTTACAAAATTATTAGTTTATATTATATTGTTAAATTATATTTCTAATAAAAAGATAAGTTTATATATAAAATCATTGTATATAAGATAATTTAAAATTACATTAAATTAAAAATTATTGCAATTAAATAATTTGCATAATTTAAGAATCATAATTATAATTGATTCATACTTATTATCTTTAAATTGTATTTTAAAAAAAGTTATTAGAATTGATAGTTATATAATGTTAAAAATGACAGTAACAAAACTATTGCGAATGATATTTAATAAAAAAAATTATTAAAATTTATCATTAATAAAATAATTTCAAAATTTGCTATGTCAAATGTTGGAAATAAGAAAGAGAATTTTGATTAAATTGTATAAAAAATTTTTAAGAAAATTTGATGAAGTTCTTGAGTTACTTTTTAATAAAAATAAAAATGTATCTTTGTTTTAAATTTTATTCAACATTTGAATGTTAATTATTATTTTATATTATATATTATATATTATTAAATTAAATTTTTAATAAAAATACAAGTAAATAATAATACACATGAAAAGACAACTTTTATTATATTAATTTTTTAGTTTTTGACTTTTCATATATTTTTAAGTAGGATTTTATCTTCACTTATATAAATCATGTTTGTACAACTTTTAAAAACTTGCTCACTATTCTTTCTATTGTCTTTTTTTATTTTATTTTGCAATCATATCATCTATATATTTTAATTTAATTTTTTGAGTAAGCATAAAGCTGGATAATTTTTAAATGATATGTCATATTAAATTTTATTTTTAACTGATTAATTTTTATCAAATCTATCATTATTTTCTTATATTCATCACTAGTAATTATTTACTTTTATATTTTCCATACTTTTATAGTAGAACAAGATCCAATGAAAATAAATGAACTTTTCTTAACTATTTAAATTCAATAACAAATGATTGGAAGATAAAAGTGCGAATTTCATGATTGTAAGATACACTAAATATATATCACAAAAAAGAGTTAATTAGGACTAATATGGTACTAATTCATAAAAATGTATTAGTATTTGTATTTTTCTTATTAAAAATCTATTATTTTTAATAAATTATAATTGTGTTGTCTTTTATATGTTGTTGTATAATAACTAACTAACCTAATTTATTTTAAATTTTCTAATTGATTAATTTTTCCTTTCTATAGAGCAATTACATACATGCTTCCATAAGACGCGACATTTCTTACAAGTTCAAAGGTATATTAAAGGAAGAAAAAATATACTCCATGACAAATTTTTCAAGGACAAAGAACAAAGATAGATTTGTTGTAGTTGAAAACAATTATTTCATGTTGCAATTCTATGCTACAACTATTATTAAGGAATTAAATGATGATAACATAATTCCTTACCATGTCTTTAAGTTTGTGAACATTGAAGATTTCGTTGTGGAAATAACATCTTAATATGTATTTTGTTGTAAAATTTTACTAAAATTTGTTATATAATTTGTATTTAATTTACCAATTAGTTTCTTAAATTTATTTATTTTATGAATAGATATGATTGGAGTGGTCATGCACACAAGTTATATTGAAGAAAAAATAACTGTAAGGCAAGGTTAATGTCATGACACTTCAATTACAACACATGAGGTACAAATAACTATTTTAAAGTTATTATTAACTGAAAAATATAATTTTGGTTAAATCATTTGTAGGGGAAA